CTCATTACCAATATAATTAAAATCATAATTCTAGCTATTATTATATTTAGTGTAATAGTTATAATAATAAATGTACCTATCATAAAATGTTAATTATAATTATAATTATAATTTTTTATAATCATGATTATTATTATATTTAAATTATATTTATAATTAAAATTATAATTATAATAACAATAATAAATGTATATACTTTTAGAAATATTCTAATCAGATCAAATCAGAACGATCCAGATCAGATCAGAAGGATTCATATCTAATCAGAAGGATTCAAATAAAATGAGAAAGATTCAGATCAGATCAGACCTAATCAGAATGATTCAGATCAGATCAGAAATATTCAGATCAGATCAGATTAGAAAAATTCAGATCAGATCGGATCAGATCAGATCAGATCAGAACTTAAAAAATTTAGATCAGATTATAATACTTTTATAAATACTTTTTATATTTGAAAAATTCATTGATAGCCCAATGGTTTAATTTAAATGAAAAATTAATTGAACTTAATGCCCAATGCCTGAATTCAGAGCCCATATCTAATTGGCCCATTTCTCATTTTAGTTTAGGTCTGAGTGTATGAGTATATATTCATCATATTAGCTCACCTCACTTCACTCTAACGCACAGCCTTACTCCCTAAACCGCAGCTCTGGAAGTCTCCAGAGTCGTCTGCTACACACAGACCAAACTCCCCTACTCAAGTCACGACCTTATACCATCCTCGCACAACTCACCATCAACACTTCATCCTTCCACAGTCTACTGTCGGATTTTCGAAAGGTGAGCAGATCGATGTGTATTATGAACCAAAACCTTGATATTCTCCGTCTCCGATTGACATTCCCGCACATATTCAGGTCGCGGCCGCGTTATGTGATTCCAGGTTCCACATCTCTCCCATTTTCGTTTCATGGATTTTGGTGAAATAATTATCCTTTACACTTACTTGCATTGTTAATTGATTATTGTTTATTTGCTTATCTTATATATTTGGATGATTGATATGAGCTGCAAAATTGGTTACTTTTATGGAGGCATCTGCTAAACTTCAGGCCATGAGGTAATAGATTCACCGCTTACATATGATTATTCTGAAATGTCGTTTGTCCGGTTACAACTGTACTTGATGTGTTTTACAATTATTCATTCATTGTTAATTCATTGAAGATTTGTTTTGGTGTTGTTTATTTGTGATGACTATGTTAGGAAATTGATGTAACGTACCTCGAAAGTACGGCAGCGGAAGTTTAAAATTTTCCCAAACAGATCTTCCCTGATTATGACAAAACAACGAATATAACAATAATAAAAGATCTGAGTTAGAACTTACAGATCTTCCAGTCTAGCGGTGATAATCCTTGACCTTTGGTATCCACGTGATTTCTCCTTTCCGAAAGAACGGATAGATCTCCCTAAGAGAAAGGCTAGGAAATCTCTTTGCGGGGAAATAAACTGGTAATACTGAATCTAAAAACTGGTCTACAAATTATGAAGGAGAAGGATGTATTTATACTAGTTCGAAACTAGTTTCCCAATCACAATGAAAGTCTTTCTAATTAATGAGTTCTAATCCTACTAGGACCAATACTCCTAATTAATTAAATAAGTAGATAAAACAAAACAAAATAATAATAATAATAATTGAGATGTGGCTGCACGCCACTTTCTAATTATTATATATTAATATTTATTTTGTTTACTTTTCTTTTAATTCCAAATTACAAAAGAAAATATCTACTTTATTTAATAATAAATACATCTTAATTAAGTATGATAAATCTAATTTATCTTAATTAATTAATTCTATCAAATAGAACTCTCCTTCAACTTCATGAATTAAATATGTTTAATCTAATTAATATTTAATTCATTTTCAGTATTACGAATTAAATATTATTTAATCCAATTAATAATATTTAATTCATTCTAACAATTCAATCGGAAGGTATAATCACTTGTTGTGTGACCCATAGGGCCTTATATATTAAGCACTAATCAAATTAAGGTCTTAGCGAATCCCTAGACGATTCTCCAGACAAACTTAATATATAAGGACGTTTGCGAGGACTATACAAACTCCCTGTAATATAGAGCTCATAGTGATACGGTCCTTTCATTCAGCGAACATTCAACTAAGTCTAGAACATGATATAGTGTCTATCCCAATAACTCAGTCTCTGTCTCTCAATCTTTCTAGATGATCCATAACGATCATATTCGATATCCAAAACGAATATATCTTTGCATTGGCCAATGACTTTATGATCCATCTAGATATGAGAAGTAGAATGTTCTTTCTTAATCTATTATGAGGAATGAATCCTTTCTTGGCTCAACTACGACTCCATGTGCTTCGTGATGCACCCAACACATGCCGTATCTACCCCGATTGGAGTGCAAGCGTTGGTCATGGTCAAAGTACATCACTCCACACATGTAGTACGTATTGACCTCAAGTCGGAGGACTATTACACTACTCTATACGCCGATAATCCCATAGACACATGAATAGAACTTATCAAATGGTTTCTCGGTGGGTATGCCAATATTCTCTAAAATATCTATGTGACCATCATGAATTACAGGAACTCATAGTCGTGAGATCAACTATACTTTCTAAAAGTATGATGCAGTCCACATACCAATCTTATCGCATATCATCAATATCCCATTCTTGATGATCATTGATTGGGGCCTTTTTAGGACCTTATGTTTTATCATATAAGCTCTCACTTACTTATTGACAACATAAGTCCAAGGGAACACAATTATGAATAAGACATTGACAATCGAAATGCTTAATCATGAATGTGTAATACCGTATATATCAAATATATAAAACTGAATGTGATCAAGTACATATATCTCTAAAAAGTGATTGTCGCTAGGACATATATACTAACAATCTCCCACTTGGCCTAGTGCCAATCACCGATGCGTCTAACACCTAGACTCTCAAAAGTTTAGTGTGTTTCTCGAATCTTAAAGGTTTGGTGAAAGGGCCAGCCAAATTGTCCTCTACGGGAAGGCATTCTATTGCAACTTCTCATCTTGCTATTTGTTATAAAAACATGATAGCATACTGGTAATTTTTAGTTCCTTAGTTTGCATCTTAGTTCCTTAGCTTGTGCAAATGCACCGGTACAGTCACAATAACAATTATTGGATAACTGTCGCTAGGAACTACCCTTATTTCTTTAAGGAACTAACGTATCTAAACGCTTACCTATGTTGCATCAAATGCAACAATTTACTAGGCTCTAGTTGTCAAATTTACTAGCATTACTATTACATTGAGACTAAAAACGTATACTGACTGTGACTCGTAGTCTTTCTTATCATACATGAAACTAGTGCTAGAATAATTAAATTCTACTAGTTCTCTCTGTCTACCATAGACAAAAGATATTCATGAAGATTTTGGGTGACCATTCTTTCATTGACTTCAATGAGGGGATATCATTCTCTATGATCAACATATATGATTATAAAGACCACGCTATCCTTGTTGCGCACTCTAAACAATGATATTTCAACTCCTAGATGCTTGTTCTAGCCCATAATTAGATTTCTCAAATTAACATATTGAATTAGAATTTGGTATGGATATAAAACCTTCAGGTTGTACCATGTACACCTCCTCCTTGAGGTTTCCATAAAGGAAAGGGGTGTTGACATCCATTTGTCAAATCACATTATCATACTGAGCAGCTATAACAAGCAAAATCCAAATGGACTTGAGTTTTGCAATTGGCGAATAGGTATCACTATAGTCAATTCCTTTTCTTTGAATATAACATTTAGTCACTAGCCTAGCTTTGTATGTTTTCACCTTGCCTTCAGCATTAATTTTCTCCTTGAAAATCATTTTGCATCCAATGGGTCTAACCCAACAGGCAAGTCAACCAAGTTCCATACTTGATTGATACAGATCGAGTCCATTTTAGATTTTATGGCTTCTCGCCACCTCTATGAATCAACATCAAATATTGCTTCTATGTGGGTCTCAGGTTCATCCGTATCAGGAATCTTAACATCATCATGATCCTCCATGAGGAAGCCAAACCTAGTTAGTTCATGACGGGTCCTAGTAGACCCACATAATTAAATGTTTTGCGTTTTGTTCAGGCTGTTCATTCAGATCGTGAAGAGGTTCTCTTTCATTGGACTATCCGATGCTTAGAGAGTTTTCTGGTGCTATACTCAGAGAGGGAGAGTTAGGTGCAGAAGGAATGACAACCATGTCATTACTTTCTTCATAAGAATCACTTGCTAGTGCGAAGCGCTTCCTATATTACTCCCACTAGTTGAAGGATATCCTCCTAGAGACATTCTTCAACTTAATTCTCCCATTGAATCCTTCATTAGACAATCTAACAAATCTTCATTCTCTATGTTACTTCAGCTTTCAATTTGATTAGTGCACATTTCTTTACAGTTGTAGGGCAACCCATATTTAATATGTGAAGAAAATGTCTTTTATTATACTATAACTCATATAGTACATTTTGCACTAATCAAACTATTTAGAATGTATGTTGAGATTTATAGCGTGTACCCTCAAAAGAATGTTTGGAAGAGAAAACGAATTCATCATAGATCTAGCCACGTCTAACAAAGCCCTATTTCTCCTTACAGAAACGCCAGTCTTCTAAGGTGTTCTGGAGGAGTTCATTATGACCGAATTCTTTGACCTTTTAAATAAATCAGAAATTTTACTTAAGTACTCTTTGGCTTGCTATCCTTTTTCCTAGAAAAGGATTATTAGTCAAGTTGCTTGAAAGACAAGATTCGCAATTTCCATATGACTCAAAAACAAATGGTGTTAAATAATCTAATTCATTTAACGTTGCTATTCTTGTTTCATTAATTTGACCAAGTTTGCAATGTCATAGATAGGTAGTAATTTTCTGATTACTTAATCGAGATCCTTTTATTTTATCCATTTAATATCTAATATGTCGATTGAATATTAATCATTCATAAGAAAAGCATTTTCACAACTACACCATTTTATGAAAATAACAATTATTATTAGCAAAATGGAAACATAAATCTTTTAATGTCTAACATATGAATGGAAATAATCTTCTTGGTAGTAGAAGGAATAAAATAACAATTATTTAATTCTAATCTAAAACCACTGGGCAAATCTAAACTATAAGGTCCTATCACGTTCAGCAGCAACTTTTGCTCCAACCTTCACGCGTAGGTCAATTTTACCCAGTCCAACTGCTACACTGCTTCTCAGGCTTCTGCACATTTTTACAAATGTGTAAGCCATAAGTTGTATCTAATACTTTAACAATGAGAGTTAGTTATAGACATATTTATTTAATGATAAAAATACCTGAGCTTGAAGCACCCGGTGCTTTGGCTAGATTAGCCTTATACAACTCACAATCTCTCTTCCAATGCCCCTTCTCTTTGCAGTAGAGGCAAACATCCTTTGCAACCTTTGGCTTCATATGACCTCCACCTTTAGGCTTCAGAGCTGTAGGAGTAGGTCCAACCTTACCTTTCTTCTTTTGCTTATTCTTGTTCTTAGAACGAGACTTAGCATTAGAGCTTACCATAAGAACAGTCTTTCCTTTAGAGGTTGAGGCTTCATAAGACTTGAGCATTTTATGGAGTTCAGGCATGGTCGCTTTCGTTTTGTTCAAATTATAATTCACAATGAAGTTAGTAAATGAACTCGGAAGCGAATATAGGATGATAGCAGCTGAGACACGATCCTCAAACTTAATTCCGGTGGTAGCAACTCTTTCAATTAAGCCAATCATTTTGAGGACGTGCTCAGACACGTTGCCACCCTCTTGAAGCCTACACTTGAAAATGTCTGTCAGAAGTTCATACTCTAGAGTCTGACTTTCTGAATCAAACAGACTTTTCAAGTGTTCAAGCATCTCGAAGGCGCTCATCCTATCGTGTTGCCTTTGCAACTCCATAGACATTGCAGCCAACATAACACATTGCACAGTTTTAGCATTAGTGACGTGTTTCTCTCGAGCAGTTAGGTCAAACGTGGCAAACTCAGGAGAGTTGGCATCAGGAATCTTGGGTACCGGTGTGTCTAACACATACTCAATATTTTCTTGTCTAAGAACTAAACGCACATTTCTTTCCCAGTCAAGAAAGTTTGGTCCAGTAAGCTTGCATGTATCCAGGATACTTCTCAATGATAAATTCGACATTCCTAAAAGTCTAAAGAAGTTCAAATAGAATGAAATTAAAATCATATATTAATTCCTATGATCACATCTAGTTAACTAAATAATATGGACTTTTAATTATTTAGCTCCCACTATTTTTACATGCTCTTTGACCCCAATAAAAAAGAACATGGATTGTTTTCACAATCATAGTGGCCAAGATCCACATTCATACTATTACAGTCCCAGCTTGGGCTGATCACTGCAATAATATAATGGGTAGGTCCCTAGACCAATTGCGTCCAAGCAATTCTCGGTTGATCAATTTTTATTTTTTTTTAAATTGATCGACATCCCTAAATTAACACTGACGCTTGGGCGACTCGAGCTAATTTAAGTAAGTCAAAACCATCACACGATCACAAACAATTGTACCTATAAATTAGTTCTATATTTTGTCGAATGGAATAAACACTTGGGTGAAATATTCTTCAACGAAAAAATATTTCTACTAATTTAATTATGATGGGTGATGTCATTATCCCGGATAAGACTTAAATTTTAATTTATGGGGAACGTTTAGCGGAGTATAAAATTATTTAATCAAGATGCCTAAACATATTATCAAATAATATGTTGATGAGATTTAACTCAAACAGATAAATTAAAGCATGCAATATAAATCTAATTTATAAATATATTAAACAGTCAAACAATTAAAGTATAAGCATGCTTAAAAAACAACAATACGTAGTTAGATAAAATTAAACTTACTTATGTCTATTAGATAATTAATCAAAGCAATTAAGATTAATTTTGATACGTAGTGTTTAACTACGTATATAGAAAACCAAGTTACATTAGAATCAGGACTTTCACAACTTCCACATCTAATGGAATTAGACTCTGTATATACGGCCTAGATTAGTGCTCCGTATGAATTAGTGCACAATTGCCAAAGTTTAGGACTTTAATTAAATTGTAGTGGGTCCTTGATTTTATTCTAACTTCTAAAGTAAGCCCATAAACCAAAAACAAATCGCAGCTGCAAGGCTTCGTAGTGGAATCGTTGTTAACCTGCAGCCCCATCGCTTATCCTCACCGTCGATGTCCGTGGTGGTTTCGGTGCAACTAGAACGGCGATGACTAAGCAAGAGGTCGATTGGTCTTTACATTCCCGTTCGAATCTCGTCTGGAGGCGCTCCAAACATAGAGAACGATTTTGCAGAATTTTAATCGCCATTAATGGCGGCCATGTTTTGCAAGGACAGAAAAAAAAAACGCATAGAAAATCGATTAAAGGTCGGTCGTCATGGTTGATCGTTCAAAACGTAGAGACAACAAATTGTAGATCCGAAAAGACTGTCGTCCAGTTCAATTACAATTCATATTTCAATTTCTAAAATCAAAATATAATTACTTCGAAAAACAATCATTGATCGGAAACATAATCTGAGAATAATGTATTTAGATCCACGAAAATAGATAGTCTGTATATCTACAAAATTCGTGTAATGTCATTAGAATCAGTTTGTCTCTGATACCACTGTTAGGAAATTGATGTAACGTACCTCGAAAGTACGGCAGCGGAAGTTTAAAATTTTCCCAAACAGATCTTCCCTGATTATGACAAAACAACGAATATAACAATAATAAAAGATCTGAGTTAGAACTTACAGATCTTCCAGTCTAGCGGTGATAATCCTTGACCTTTGGTATCCACGTGATTTCTCCTTTCCGAAAGAACGGATAGATCTCCCTAAGAGAAAGGCTAGGAAATCTCTTTGCGGGGAAATAAACTGGTAATACTGAATCTAAAAACTGGTCTACAAATTATGAAGGAGAAGGATGTATTTATACTAGTTCGAAACTAGTTTCCCAATCACAATGAAAGTCTTTCTAATTAATGAGTTCTAATCCTACTAGGACCAATACTCCTAATTAATTAAATAAGTAGATAAAACAAAACAAAATAATAATAATAATAATAATTGAGATGTGGCTGCACGCCACTTTCTAATTATTATATATTAATATTTATTTTGTTTACTTTTCTTTTAATTCCAAATTACAAAAGAAAATATCTACTTTATTTAATAATAAATACATCTTAATTAAGTATGATAAATCTAATTTATCTTAATTAATTAATTCTATCAAATAGAACTCTCCTTCAACTTCATGAATTAAATATGTTTAATCTAATTAATATTTAATTCATTTTCAGTATTACGAATTAAATATTATTTAATCCAATTAATAATATTTAATTCATTCTAACAATTCAATCGGAAGGTATAATCACTTGTTGTGTGACCCATAGGGCCTTATATATTAAGCACTAATCAAATTAAGGTCTTAGCGAATCCCTAGACGATTCTCTAGACAAACTTAATATATAAGGACGTTTGCGAGGACTATACAAACTCCCTGTAATATAGAGCTCATAGTGATACGGTCCTTTCATTCAGCGAACATTCAACTAAGTCTAGAACATGATATAGTGTCTATCCCAATAACTCAGTCTCTGTCTCTCAATCTTTCTAGATGATCCATAACGATCATATTCGATATCCAAAACGAATATATCTTTGCATTGGCCAATGACTTTATGATCCATCTAGATATGAGAAGTAGAATGTTCTTTCTTAATCTATTATGAGGAATGAATCCTTTCTTGGCTCAACTACGACTCCATGTGCTTCGTGATGCACCCAACACATGCCGTATCTACCCCGATTGGAGTGCAAGCGTTGGTCATGGTCAAAGTACATCACTCCACACATGTAGTACGTATTGACCTCAAGTCGGAGGACTATTACACTACTCTATACGCCGATAATCCCATAGACACATGAATAGAACTTATCAAATGGTTTCTCGGTGGGTATGCCAATATTCTCTAAAATATCTATGTGACCATCATGAATTACAGGAACTCATAGTCGTGAGATCAACTATACTTTCTAAAAGTATGATGCAGTCCACATACCAATCTTATCGCATATCATCAATATCCCATTCTTGATGATCATTGATTGGGGCCTTTTTAGGACCTTATGTTTTATCATATAAGCTCTCACTTACTTATTGACAACATAAGTCCAAGGGAACACAATTATGAATAAGACATTGACAATCGAAATGCTTAATCATGAATGTGTAATACCGTATATATCAAATATATAAAACTGAATGTGATCAAGTACATATATCTCTAAAAAGTGATTGTCGCTAGGACATATATACTAACAGACTAATGTTGTAGTGTTTTGGTATTGTCTTATTTTTGATGACTTATGTTGTAGTATGCCTCACACAGACTAAAAACATAGATCCGTTGATTAAGTATTATAGTTTTGCCTAAATTGTTTTAACTTGTAAGATATGCCTTGGGTATTATACACTCCAATTCTTTGACAGTTTTTTATTTACCTTTTTATAATCTAATCTCTAAATATATAATTGTATTTTAAATTTTTAACCGGCTTATATCTTGAAGCATTGATGGTTTATATTCTTTCATGGTTTTATTTTTTGTTGATGCTTGTTTTTAATAGGCATACTTATCTTAATGCCCAATTCTAAATGTCTACTGTCTACCTATGTCATTCAAAAAAACTGAATCATTTCAATATGATTTGGCATACATTTTGTGAACCAATAATTTTTTCAAAGTTGAACGATTGCTTCTAAATTTTGATTATACATTAAATCTTCAGGCTAATTTAATAACTTTTAAGCATTACAATGATGTAATTGTATGGTAATTTTTCTTACCACATCATACATATTCACTTATTGACTTATTCTTTAAAAAGATTCTGTTTTTAAGAGATAAAGATGCAAGTATTCTACCCTCTATTCTGTTTTGGCCTACATTTTTTATACTTCTACAGTCTGCCCTGGGTATTATACACTCTATATCTTTGACAGTTTTTTATTTACCTTTTTGTGTAAATATGTTGTTTTGGCCTACATTGTTAATTGATTATTGTTTATTTGCTTGTCTTATATATTTGGATGATTGATATGAGCTGCAAAATTGGTTACTTTTATGGAGGCATCTGCTAAACTTCAGGCCATGAGGTAATAGATTCACCGCTTACATATGATTATTCTGAAATGTCGTTTGTCCGGTTACAACTGTACTTGATGTGTTTTACAATTATTCATTCATTGTTAATTCATTGAAGATTTGTTTTGGTGTTGTTTATTTGTGATGACTAATGTTGTAGTGTTTTGGTATTGTCTTATTTTTGATGACTTATGTTGTAGTATGCCTCACACAGACTAAAAACATAGATCCGTTGATTAAGTATTATAGTTTTGCCTAAATTGTTTTAACTTGTAAGATATGCCTTGGGTATTATACACTCCAATTCTTTGACAATTTTTTATTTACCTTTTTATAATCTAATCTCTAAATATATAATTGTATTTTAAAATTTTAACCGGCTTATCTATTGAAGCATTGATGGTTTATATTCTTTCATGGTTTTATTTTTTGTTGATGCTTGTTTTTAATAGGCATACTTATCTTAATGCCCAATTCTAAATGTCTACTGTCTACCTATGTCATTCAAAAAAACTGAATTATTTCAATATGATTTGGCATACATTTTGTGAACCAATAATTTTTTCAAAGTTGAACGATTGCTTCTAAATTTTGATTATACATTAAATCTTCAGGCTAATTTAATAACTTTTAAGCATTACAATGATGTAATTGTATGGTAATTTTTCTTACCACATCATACATATTCACTTATTGACTTATTCTTTTAAAAGATTCTGTTTTTAAGAGATAAAGATGCAAGTATTCTACCCTCTATTCTGTTTTGGCCTACATTTTTTATACTTCTACAGTCTGCCCTGGGTATTATACACTCTATATCTTTGACAGTTTTTTATTTACCTTTTTGTGTAAATATGTTGTTTTGGCCTACATTGTTAATTGATTATTGTTTATTTGCTTGTCTTATATATTTGGATGATTGATATGAGCTGCAAAATTGGTTACTTTTATGGAGGCATCTGCTAAACTTCAGGCCATGAGGTAATAGATTCACCGCTTACATATGATTATTCTGAAATGTCGTTTGTCCGGTTACAACTGTACTTGATGTGTTTTACAATTATTCATTCATTGTTAATTCATTGAAGATTTGTTTTGGTGTTGTTTATTTGTGATGACTAATGTTGTAGTGTTTTGGTATTGTCGTATTTTTGATGACTTATGTTGTAGTATGCCTCACACAGACTAAAAACATAGATCCGTTGATTAAGTATTATAGTTTTGCCTAAATTGTTTTAACTTGTAAGATATGCCTTGGGTATTATACACTCCAATTCTTTGACTGTTTTTTATTTACCTTTTTATAATCTAATCTCTAAATATATAATTGTATTTTAATTTTTTAACCGGCTTATCTCTTGAAGCATTGATGGTTTATATTCTTTCATGGTTTTATTTTTTGTTGATGCTTGTTTTTAATAGGCATACTTATCTTAATGCCCAGTTCTAAATGTCTACTGTCTACCTATGTCATTCAAAAAAACTGAATCATTTCAATATGATTTGGCATACATTTTGTGAACCAATAATTTTTTCAAAGTTGAACGATTGCTTCTAAATTTTGATTATACATTAAACTTTCAGGCTAATTTAATAACTTTTAAGCATTACAATGATGTAATTGTATGGTAATTTTTCTTACAACATCATCCAATGGATTTTACCCTCTCTGTCTATGCTTGTTTACTTGTATGTTTTTTCATTTAATGAAAACTAAGTTACAAATCAATTTAATTTTCAAGCATGTGTTTATTTCTTTTTTTTTCTGTTTTTGTTAAGTTCTTTTTCTTGACATTTTAATGACATTTGTTAGATAAAAATAAGCTATTTAAATGAATTTGTTAGAATTGTCATACATTGTTAGGAACAACATCCTTCATATGTAAAACATTTGGTACTGCCAAGCGTCATCAAACTTTTAAACAATTAATATTAATGTGTTTAATAACTTCTTTGATTTATGTAATCATGACTGATGAAAGAGTGTTTTCCTATGGCATTTTCTTATATTTATGTTAGCTTGTTTTATTTGCTCCATTTATTTAGCATGAAGCTGAAGTGGAGAAAAATGATATACTTGAATCTGAACACAAATATGAGGCATCTTAGGGTGAACTTAGGTAAGCATTTTCTGTAATGCTTCACATGTTAGTTTATTTCTTGTTATTAGTTTTTCCAGATTTAAAATGACTGTTTTACATTCAGATTCAAAATCCTAATATAGTTTATATTCAATGTTCACATGGATATGCTTCTTATAGATGCCTCAGTTCTAAATGTCTATTGTCTACCTATGTCATTCAAAAAAACTAATCCTATTGCTTCAAGAGGTTTCCAATGTGTTATTTTACAAAACCATTTATGACATTTAACAAAGTCAATAATATACATTCTTAAAGCGAATCTAAGCTACTTCTATCATTTTCTGTTAATTTCTGAATGTTGTTACTATCGACCTACTTCATGGAAAATTTACTGGAAAATTTAATACCAGATTATTTTAATATTGAAAAAAATGGTAAATAACTTAAGCTGTTTAATCTTACTATAATTATCTCCAGAATCCAAAAAAGTAGTTCCATCTCCACGAAAAGTTGAAAGTTTGAATTGGCTACCTATAAAAGCAGTATCCTTGGGCCTTCATCATTCAATTGTTGTTACAGGTATGACACATTCTTAGCATCTTGAACATGAAAAATGGACTCTTCCACTGTGATATTGATAA